TCATTATATTCGTAACTGGATTAGGATCTGGGATCGAGATGTTTTAGATCAATAGGGGTTTAATTGACAATTTTGTAAAGTTTGGGATGGCGCTTGTAAATACATAGGTCGGTTAGTTGTTAAGTCGGTTCGCCACCTTAGTTGCTTCGTAGAGTGTACACAGAATTACGCACTGTAAATTCAAGAAGCATTAATGATCAAGTTCATTCAATTCACAAAACATAAACCCTATATTCTCTCAACTCTTTCGGTTTCTTCAATTTCCTTCTTCATTTTTCCTTCAATTTACCAACCAAACAATTAAAAGATGTATGTCGCTTTACCCTTATATTTTACACAGAGATTATTTAACTACGACCTAAGATGCATTCGCGTACTTGATGATTTTCGGCAATTTCAGCTAAATTAATTAAGAAGCAACAGGATTTAAGCATCATTATTGACTTAAACATCAGATGATTAACCCTGGTTATACCTTAAGTAATTTTCATATTCTAGGGTCAGATGAATGACTATCAATCGAGGTTCATTGATATGGACATAAAGAGACCTTGGTACTGTTGTTGAACTCATCATAAATGGCTTTTATTGGAGGACTGAGAAGATGTATTGAAACGCAACTTAACAAAGTTAAGTGTCATGTCAAAATCGTAAGGTATATTTTAAGCATTGGAGATTTAAAACTTACTACGAACTTTTCTATCACCCTTGTTTATCGCAAAGCAAATGCCAAAGGTTAATACTATCCTTTGAACAGGTTGCATCGCAAGGCTCATATCGTCGTTATTCTCTCTAACATAGTAACATTAGACGTTCCAAGACATGTTCCTTGTATATATTGGTTTTAGTTGCTCGTTAAATAGTACTCCTTCTCTTCCAAAAATATAGTTCATATTTAGTTTTCAGATTTGTACAAATAGGAATAAAAATTTGAAATATCAATATAGATTATTTTTTTGGGACGGAGGTAGTACATATTATCTTGGAAGAGATGAAAACTTTTCTCTCATATTTTCCCCTGTTATCGGTTTCATTTTTTACTTTAAAGTAGACCTCAAAGGTCAAAGCGCGGAACCTTTTCAAATGCTTTTGAAACAGTTATTGAGATAGTGAATGCCTACCTTTTGTTTTTATTTTATTTTTTTCAATTATGTAACAATCGGTAGTATAATATTAATAAAAAATATTTATCAGTATTGATTGCAAAGTTAGAACAATCGATCAATATATATCAATATCTTCAGAAGTCTTAACTTATTAAATTTGACTAATCATTGAGGTCTTCCATTGTTGTGACGGATAATCTTTGTATGATTAGGTGCTTCCTTCACAAAATATAATATGATGTAGTAGGTTTACATTTCTTTTCATGTACAAATATAGTAAGAAGAATAATAATACAGAGAAGATCACTCCAACCACCATCTACGTGTTATGTGTGTCTTTCTAGAGAAAAAATAAAATAAAAATTGAGACCCCATATCAAGGATATACATCCGATAATAATACATGAAACAGTTAAAAACAAGTTATTCATCTGTCACAGACAGAAAAATAATACACTTTGTTTGAATTGTAATTGTACATATGTGACCTTTGAAGATTGCTAGTCTAAATCTTACTCCAACCTTCTGATTACGGTAAAAGACAATCTAACACTAACCAATAAAACACATCACTCCTGTATATATACTACTAGTAGTATTGATAGCAATCCGTGACAAAACCAATCTTTAAGAAAAGATTAACTTTGCTAATTCGGAAAGACAGAGATTTGTAGGCAGCGAAATTTGGAGAATTCGGATGTAATGACACGAAACACACAAAAAACACACAAAAGAAAAGATATTTGATCTCACATGGATCAATTCACGAGTTCAATGGTAGAACAACCCAAATCAAGAATGAAGAGAGCTATTTCTAACCAAGCAGAGACCCTTTGGAAAATTTTGTTGGAAAACCCAATAGACATGAGATCTATGAGCTTAAGTACGAAGATTCAAAAGATCCAATACTAAAGACGCCACTATCAAGTGAACTAAACAAGATAAATAAGTCTAACAATTGTCACAACACATATGCAACAACTAAACAAAGAAGTCCTCACAAGAACTCCACGAAAGGAATAAAATCCTAACCAATTTCACTCAGGAAAATATCAATGACACAAGGTGTGTTGGACAAGAGAATTTCGGTCCCTATTTATAGAAGGGGTGGCCGAAATTTCTTCCCAAGAAGTAGAGGAAGAACACAACTCTTGACCTCTATTCCTATCTCTAAGAATTTGAAATCAAATCAAATTCTAAAAACTCCTAGTTATCTTTAGTGATAAGATAACGAACATAGATACTTTTACTAGTCTTAAAGCATTTAAGACTATGTAGGAATTAATTAAAACTCAAAATACAAAGAGATAATCTCTTAGAAAGATTCCTATGGATGGAATCTATCTTGAGTTAAAACTCTATCATCATCTTCTTTGTAAAGTGATCTTAGCCATCCATCTTGATGTAGTCTTCATCCAACGGTTGAGTAGACATCAAAAGTTGACTCCTTATTGTAGGCAACTCAAAAATAAGATAAAAAGAATCATCCCAAATATTATCCTTTAAAGAGATAAAGTCTTATCTTTCTAAGAGATAAAATTTGAATAATCTCACCCCTAAACTTTAGGGATCTATTCGACCAACATGAGGGAGTGTGGCCGGCGGCTCCTTGGATCGAGGGCCGAAAATTCTACTCTCCAAATGGGCCAAGTCCATTTGGTGTCACTTGCAACAAATTAATAGTTTTGGACTTGTAATCTTCAAGCTTAATTTTCTCATTAGCCCATGTAGTAGTAATTAGACTATTAAGTGATTCATTCATCCTCTTGCATTTAGCACGAGTCATTGGTCCAACAATGTTTGAGAGTCGATCACGGATGTAAGGATAATTCTTTAAAACAGCTTCTTTAGATCTTCGATTAGTATTCACGACCTCAACTTGCTCGTCCTCTCCATTATTGGCAGCAACATGTTTCTCTCCATTAGTGTTAGCTCGATGGTCTCCATCAAGTATATTAAGACTCAAAAAAAGAACAAACCACCAAAACATTTCTTCATCAAATAAGTGGCTCCGGCTGACAACATGGCTTCCGGGAAAGAGATGGAAAAAATGCTCAGCATGAAAGGACGCAACGGAGAATCAAGCTATGCTAACAATTCTCAAGACTAGGTTAAGTAATTAATCATCGTATATATAGTGCATATTATATTGCTTCATTCTGATTTTCTTCTTTGATTGTAAACGAACTCAACATTAATTTCGCAATAATGATGACTTTTTCTTTGTTATTGCATATACCACGCACTTAAATTAATTCTCAAGATCATGTTTCTAATGTTTTAGGCTCAGCGTGTTCAGTCTATGTTGCATCTTTTAATAGAATGTTTGGATGGAGTCCAACTAAGCTACCGACGGGAAACGGAAACCGTCTTTGCGGTGGCGGATTTGGGATGTTCTTCCGGCAGAAACACTGTTAACATCGTGGACGTGATCATCAAGCATATCATTAAGAGATATGAGGCCTTGGGTATTGATGGTCCTGATCAGCTGCCGGAGGTCTCCGTATTTTTCTCTGATCTTCCCTCTAATGACTTCAACACCCTCTTTCAGCTCCTCCCCACCTCGGACAGCCACCGGCCGTATTTTGCTGCCGGAGTTCCGGGATCCTTTTACGACTGTCTCCTCCCGGCGAAATCTGTTGATGTTTTTTACTCCGCATTTTCCGTGCACTGCCTCTGTGTATACCTTTTACTTCTTCTGTTTCAAAAAAATAATTTACATTAAGTTTTTAAATTTATATTAAAATTATTACAAATTTTAAAATTAAATATGGATTATTTTTTATAAGTAATTACGTTTTTAAAATTGGTCACCACCAAGCGGGTTTTTTTTTTTTTTTTTTAAAGAAATTGATCATGATCCTCATTAATTAGATTTTCGCTCCTGCTTGTGAATAGCGTATGAATACAATGATTTCGTCGGGTTGGCTATAGCAGATTTCTTTGGCACACAATCCAATGATTTTGGACTCAACACTACCTAATACCTATACCTTGGGACAAAGAAATATGCTATTCATTTGTTGAGCCGCGCCGAATGTGCCTATGCATGACATATGTTTTAGATGCCTATAATAAAAACTTAAATAGGCATTGGAAATTAGAGTGGCAGTCAAAAATTAATGTGCTAATTGAGGTTTTTATTTTTATTTTTATTTTCTTTTTTTGCCCAAACTTTGTTCTAAGATGTCCAAACCCTTTTCCCAAGCTTTCACTCTATTCGGAGAGAAGTAAAACCCGACAGAATATTAAAATACAGTTCAACCACTTTTGAGATACATGTGAAAAATTTCAGAAGAAAATATACCCCTTAAATTCGTAAATTGGTAGATACATTCGGGGTTGATAATTTTTTTTAGCCAAACAGACATCTGGTCTTTTAGCGCACCATTCTGGCGTAAATGATCAGTTTAACCCAAAACTTATAGTAATTATTAGTCAATTTAAGCCAAAAGAATTTCAAGAGGCCAATTTACCTTCAAGTTTTGATTTCTGCCAAAAAATCCTCCTACTTCTGCTTGTGGATATAGCCCGATTTCAGATTCATAAAAGTTATTGTCCTATTTTTTGATATTTTCTCACATTTACCTCCAAGGTTGTTCCTAAATGTTTGTTTGGCTTAAGTATATATATCAACACTTTTCTTTTATTATTTTCTATCTCTCTTTTGTTAAAGAGCGAGTAACAAGGTGTACAGTTAAAATTGATTAAAAAGACGATGTGATCATCGACCTCGATATGTATAACTTACGATTAATATTTATTAATTTAAAGTTTAATGGATATATTTGACCTCATGATTATTTAAAAGTTTCACATCAAAATTTTTTGTTGTATGTAAACATCACTTTTTTAGCTAGCTTGTAGCTGAATTCTACTTGACCACTCATACAGATGCCGGATGAGGTGGTGGACAAGAGATCAGCGGCGTACAACCAAGACAAAATATTCATCCACGGTGCAAAAGAGAGCGCGGCAAATGCTTACAAGAAGCAATTCCACGCAGACTTTGGCAAGTTCCTTAGATCAAGATCCATTGAGATTAAAAGAGGTGGATCAATGTTCTTCATCTGTTTGGAAAGGACCTCAGATGATCCAACAGACCAAGATGGAGCAGGCATCCTTTACGGGACGGATTTTGAAGGCGCCAGGGATGATCTTGTCCAAGAGGTAATAATCTCAAATATATTCCTTATGGTCCTAATTATAAGATACTTACTCTGTCACATATTGAATGTCTAATTTCGATGTTCACTTTTAATACAATTTGAATTATGTAAGATAATACAAACTGGGCAATCATTTTCAGACAGAGAGAATACAAATTAACAATAGAGATAGTTCAAATTTGTGTAGAGGGAGTAGCAACCATGCACATTTATATGGTCCAATGAAATGTTTTCTTTTAGCTGACCGTGAGAATTTTGTTTGACTGTAGGGCTTAATAACGAAGGAGAAGCGTGAAGATTTCAACATTCCTCTTTATGCTGCCAGTCTCAAAGAATTCAAGGAAGTGGTGGAAATAGAGGGCTCATTTGTGATTAACAAGCTGGAATTGTTCAGAGAAGGAATCGCTTCCTCGAATCACAACCCCGATAATGCGGCTGAGGCGGGCCGGGCCTTCGCCAATGGTTGCAGGAGCGTTACCAATGTCCTAGTTGCGGCCCAAATCGGCCAGCAGCTGAGTGAAGAGCTATTCTCCCGGGTTGCGCGCGGAGCTGCAAGTCGAGCGGAAGTAAATCAAAAGCGTATCTCGATTCCACATATTGTTGCTTCCCTCTCTTTGGGTTAGGTGGAGTTGAAAATTTCTACTCCTTAGTGTTTTCGCATCAATAACCAAGCTGCCTCTTGTCATCTTTCTTTTTTAAGCCCTAAGTAAAATACACCTTTTCTCAAATGTCCTCATCATAAGAGTTGATTAATAGAGAACTCGTTAAATATATGACTTTCTTGCCCTTGAGGTAATTTTTTTCTTTTTAATTCATTTAACACGTCCCTCTCAAGCCCAATGGGATTGTACGGGAAATTTTATATATATTTTTTCTGATTTTTTTCTCAGTCTTGCGATCGGTTATTTTCCCGGATAAACCGTCGCCTGCCGGGCCAGTCAAAGTTCAAAGTCAAACCCTAGATTTCTTCCTTGGGTTGACCAAAGTTTCAAGACCCAATCTGGGTCAGTCCACCTCGCCCCACAAGTCCCATAGGTCCGTGGATTAAACCCCGCTCTGATACCATCTTGAAGGCCCAAATATAGGCCCACATGTGGTTCCACCTCAAACCAATTGGCAATGAGGGGAGTAGCACATGGGGTATATATGTTGAGTTCAAGAGTCTCCATCCATCCATGTGAGACAAGGGAACATGAGATAATTTCTTTCTTTTTCATTCATTTGACAATAATACTCAATGATATTCATATCACCTTGATTGATAACAGCTAAATCTCTCCGAAGTTGATACACCAGAGATCCATTCACGTTTCCATAACGAATAGCTATAACATCCCATAGTTGCTTTGCATTTTCAATATACATAAGGCTACTAGCCTTTGAACTATCAATTGCATTCAAAATCCAAGATCTCACCATACTGTTTACACAAGACCAGCGTAAAAAGAAAACGGTGTTTTCCGGTGGCTTAACACATGTTCCATCAATAAATCCTAATTTGCTTTAGCATTTAAGGCAGTAACCATGGACATTCGCCACATCAGATAATTGCTGGTAGTCAGAGGAGTACTTACTAGTAACATGCCTAGATTATCAGAACCATGGACTTGTAGTTGTTCTTCCATGAATTGTTCCATCTCATGATCTGTATTGCTCTACCTTGAGACATCACGAATCATCTCTTCCATCCGACCATGAAGATTTCCTGCTCGAAGCTCCTCCGCTCGAAGCTCTCCGTCGCGGCTGGATTCAACTCGAAAAGACGTCATTTGATGAAATTGATAACAAGGTTTTATTGCGGAAGCTTAGGAGATGTGGATTCTCAACTCAGATCAGGCAGGATCACTCCTGCTCTGATACCATGAGCGAGATTAAGCTTTTATCAATGGCGGTTAGGGTTTAATCAAGAGAGGAAAGGGGAAAGTGATTGAACTGAAATCATTTTGTATAAAATATATCTCGTCTCAACTCATTTAATTCATCCTATCTGTATTTATACTACACTGAGTAACTGACTTACTAAACCTAGGAATTGAAAGACTAATCTACCTTTATATACAAGGCTATACAATCAACTAACCAAAGGGTATATCTGAGTATATACAAGTATGATCTACTTCTCCATTACTCACTATATTTACACTATCAGTATTTACAGCATTTGATCATTATTATTCTTCAATTCCTTCACTTATTGTTTCCATCCAATGAATTGGATCATTCGATCATTCCTAATGATTCAGATTCTAGTTTTATTGAGTGGTTGATTTCTGCCTTAATTAACTTATCACAATTTGTCACTTTTTGTCGATATTCCTTGGTTAGCTAGATGCATATATGTTTTTTAAAGAAACTAATACATAAACAACGTACCAAAATATTTCCAATCTTGTTTAGGTCCAAAGATTGAAATATACCCAAGTTCCCTAAAACTTATGATATATAATTCATTACCAGTTCTAGTGAAAGGAATTATCAATGGTGAGTCTTCCAACTCCATTTGCAAGGAACATGTGTGCCTTTTTACTACTCTCTTTGTCTTGAAATTATTATTCTGTTTTAAATTTTTATTTTTAGTTCAAATTGTACTGAAGAGAAATTTAAAATTTAACAGTAATTTTGGGATAGAGCGAGTAATCATAAATCAAATTATTAACCAAATTTCTTAGCTTAAAAAGGTTATGTACGTTTAAGAAATCATAGGCTAAGCCACTACCTGAAGTACGAGAGTAATATTTTTGCTTGTATGAATGAGGTATATAAGTTGATTTTCATTTTAAAACCCATTTTTTTGTTTTTATTTTATGGAATGAAACATTTTTTGACAGTAATTATGATATAATTTAAACTGCATATAATACAAAAGAGATTACATAACAAATTCAAACTAATCTCTTTTTTATATATAGGTCTCAATCTCAAGCCTTTTTTGTCTCCCTCTTTCTTGGCTCTCTCTCCTTCTTCATTGTTTTTCTTTCTTTTCATTCATTTACCTTTTCTAGTATAATGAAAAAGATATAAATCTAAATAAGACAAAATTTAAACATGCGTTTTTTTTTTTTTTTTTGAAATTCAACAGTTTGTGCACTTTTATAAGCATAAAAGAAAGATCGTTTTATACAGGTGCAAAATTAATGAGGGATGTCTTAGTAGCTAAGATGTGTGCCTCCGGTGCTGAATCCCGAGGGACGTTAAGAACAGAAAAATGTGGAAAGCAACGTAGTCGTTGGCGAACATCATCAATAAGGAACAGAAGGTCTCTAGGCGGCTGAGCTCTATTGTGAAGGATATCAACCAACACTTGACAATCCGTAGTTATGCATAACTCTGACACACCGACGAGTCCACAGTATGTAGCACAAAAAGGCAAGCCAAAGGTTCAGCTTGTAACGGGGAGTTTGCTGGGAAAATGCAGCTTCCTGAAGAGAGAATTGTGTTTCTGGGAAGAAAGAGAACCCATCCTGCACCCGCCATGCCAGAATTGGTGTGAAAAGCCCCATCAACCTGAAGGCGCGTGAAACCAGTAGACATCAACTCTGACATATCATCAATACAACCTCATGGATAATAAAATGGAAGAGTTGAAAGCCTGGGAGTCTGGGACGATACAACGGGCTTATGGCACGCTCAACAACCAAATGAGGGGGTGGAAGATGCTCTTCCTCAAAGAGAGCTTGATTACGATATTTCCATATTTCCCATAACAGGAACATAGATTGAAAGTGGGCAACGTCAGATGGAGCATGTTGCATCCAATGCACAAACCAAAATTCGAAAGCACAGGGATCTCTGATGGAGAAATCAAACCCAAAAGGCGATAAACGCCAAATAGTCTTCGGTCGTTCACAATCTAGTAACACATGGCCTATAGTCTCCACATGTACCCCACACAGAAGACAAGTCAAAACAAGGAACATACCACGACGAGCCAGTGCATGAGAAGTCGGGCAAGCATTGGATAAGACTCTTCAAATGAAGAATTTAATTCTATCAGGAAGAGTTGTTGTCCATAATTTCTTCCAGACGAAAGGACGGATAGCTGGCTGACATGTAGAAGTAGAGGCCGAAGCTGTCGAAAAAGCATGAAGATTGCAAGCATGATGATAGGCTGAGCGTACATAATATATTATGTTAGATTCTAGAGACCAGTACCGGACAGGGAGATACATGCGTAATATCTGATTAACAATATGCATCGGAAATATCTGGATAACAATCTTCCCAAATCCATTGATTCTGAGAATACCGGAAAATAATGCATCAAAATTGAACCCGCAAATTCTGGAAGGCCGGTCGAAGTTACGAGGTGGTTCGTTCTTGAAGGTACACTTTCTCCAGTGGTCTCGAGTCTTAGGAAGGCCGGTCAAAGTCACGAGGTGGTAAGGCTCAGAAGCAAAATGATCGGCTGCGTGATGCCCCTTTTGAAATTCTTTTAGTCGCCGATGCATCATCCCTTGAAAGCTTTACGGCAGAATTCTGCCCACAAATACTTCTTCACCATGTCCCAAGATGTGATCTTCGATTTGCCCATCCGAGTACGGGACAACTTAAAATGTTGCCAAGTAGCTACTCGATTCTGAAACCTCTTCGCTACCAGTTTTACTAATTTGTCACCGGAAATTCTATTAAAATCTAAAATTTCTTTCACATTCACCAACCAATCAATAAATTCTTCCGGCATTTAGTCCCATGAAAGGACGGGATCTTTGTCGGCATGTTTGTTTTCGGCCAGCGATCTTCATCGACACAAAGCTTACAGAGGTGGTGTCATTTAGCGATCTGAAGATGATTATGATCAGGTCATCCAATCTCATTAACGCCGGTTCCAAACTCTGTTCCATTCAAAGAAATTGTTGTGGAAATTTTTGTTTATGCTGAGAGTATTGTATTCCGAAGTAATCAATTTTCTCCAAGTGTCGTGACTTCTGTCTTGGGGGCATCACTAACAAACAGATAATAGACAAAGAACAACCCCAAACAAAAAGTTCAAATAACCCATAAGGAATATAAGCACTATCTTGCTCAATCAACTCAAGCAACTTCACTACAAAAGTAATATAGTTATTCTCAACCCTAAATATAATATGATTGAGCAAAAATGAATGGCAAATAATTCACAAATATGAAACCAAACCCTCGTACTGCAGCACTCAACGAAACCAAATCCCTCCCTCCAAACTATTAAACAAATATGATCCCCCACAAAATTAATGTAGTTAATCAAATTTGCGTACCTCCAGTAAACCGAACAAAATACGAAAACCCAAATTAAAAGGAATTGATCAATGATTTTCACTTCAGTCGACAGATGGCACAAATATTCCACAAGGAAAATGGATCAATTAAATCCAACTTCCATCCACTAAACGTGACAATTGATTAACACAACCGAAAATCAATTAAGTGAATAGAAAAGAATAAGAACACGAGAACCTAATCAATGATACATGGCAAACCTAGTATCAATCAACTAGGATGAACGTCAGCTCTAAATACCAACTGATGTAGTAGCGGAAACCCAATTTTGAGAACGAACAAATAACCTTAAATTGAACCGCTGATATCCATTGATTCGGTGCACAATTACCTAGATAACAATCTTCCTAAATCTGTTGATTATGAG